CATCTCTTGAGTGTAAACTATATAAAAGACATGATCTTCTACCAAACTAGTGAAAGGAAAAATGCTTTTGCTATCGTTTTCTATAAATCTTTTTCAATTTAAAGGGTCGTCCAAAATCAACGGAAAAGGAGCATACTACTTAAGTAGCCATTTTTTACCTACTGCGGCTGCTTCGGGCGGCCCAAGAGCTGCGCATTCAAAAAATTAGCATTCTGATGAGATAGAAATATCTTCACAGTAGGCTGCACAGTAGTTAATATAACAACAGCACTTAAGTAACCCCTCCTAATCGTAAACATACTTTAGAATTTCAACTAAGGTTGCACGAGAGCCATCACTGACGGTAAAGTTAACGGAACAGTTGCGTGACACTGGACGGATAGCAGAAGGACGCAGGAATCCTGGATAGATCCCAATCATGGGGGTCACAAACTTGACGGGATGATTACTCATACGATAATTCTCGTCTCAAGAAAGCGGAAATTAGCAAAAACAACAACAACAACAAACGCAGGGTAGCTTACCTGAAAGAAGAAGTGAAAGCCATCATTGACTTTGTGCCAACAGAGCGCTTGACCAGTGGCGTTACAAACTTTACAAGGTGCTAAAACCTCCGCCTCGAAAGGACGTTCAGGGCGCTCCTGCAAGGTCTCCTTATAGAAGTCGCTGCTTTCGATAATTTCTTCTTCTTCCTCGGCATTTTCTTCGACTTCATTGGTATAGTCATCACCGATGAGACCGTTGAGATTAAGGAAGTCCAGTTCCTGTTCCAGTTTCAGAACCGCAACCAGTGAGGTTTTGAGGTCATCTCCAGCCCCAACAGTGGATGCTACCCCCAGTGAGGATGTCCAGTCAATGTCAGCAGCCGTGGCGGTGGTCCCCACCGAGGGCTTAGAGGAGGGCCGCCCAGGTGGGAGCTTCCGTAATGTCCACTGGTAGATCCAAGATAACTGTTTCTGCAACGATTAAAGACTAAAGATCAGAGAGCTGTTTGTGTGATAAGTCCCTGAATACTTGAATAGTTAGCACTGAATTCTGAGTTAAGGACTCTTTCGCTTCGGGAAGAGGTTATAGTCGCACTTATAGTCTGAATAACTTATTATTCACAAAAATTAAAGAAGGGAATTTCATTTGAACGAGGAAGTTCTGTATTCAGTTATTTTTTTGCAAGGCATGGGAGTAAGTAGCCCCTGAACTGTCTACTTATGTGATTTAAGCAGGCCCATTCGGTCACAAATTGTCTGTGGGAACGCTTTCGCATGGCCAAATGAATGACCAATAGAAAACCCAATAAAGAAACAAAAACAACCGAAGCAACAAGATAAGATGTAAAAGAAGCTACAGGTCTCATCAATTGTAGCACGAAGCTGGCGATCGCAGTAATAGTAGAAAGTAAAAGAAAGCCTAGCGTTTGTTATGTCGGCAACGGCATGGGAGAAGAGAGAGCGAACGCTTTTCCACAACCTACTGGGTGGGTAACGAAAAACCAACCATGGGCCAAAGGAACACACTGGCATTCACCGTCAGACTGTGTTACCCATCAACAAAAAAACCGACTGATTACCTGGAAGTCCGACCCAGCAATTGAGCAAGGCCAAACTAAAAAGGTCCAGGCACCATTTACTGGATTAGCAAGGAATCTAGGAGATAGAATAAATGCATCAGATGACAACGTATGCTTTCTCCCGCCTTTTCGGCAGCAGGTCGAATTGGATTAGAGATTG